CAGGCAGGCAGGCAGGCAGGCAATCAGGGAGGGAGGTAGGTAGGTAGGTAGGTCAGGTAAGTAGATAGGTAGATATGATGGGTTCATGGCATGGATGGATAGCTACGTGCTAGTTATTAGTAGGTAAATAGATTTTCTCACCTTACATATACATGTACATAAAAAAAATATATATATATATATATACGGAAACATGTATATAATGCATAGACTTAGACATATGCCATGATGGCATATATCCCTTGAAAGAGATTTGATCCCGGTCCATCTCGGCCGTCTTGTCCAACAACGTACTTCAGCCTGCACTAGGACTCACGAGGGCTTCCGAAGCCCTCAAGGCTCTGCAGCTATGGGGTCTGCGCGCCGTTATGGGCCCTGAGGACGACTTCTGGTCTGGACCTCTGGAAGCTTCGGGTCATTATGCGCCACCGAAACCCTAAAAGCTCCAGATTCCTAATTTCAAATTTTTTTACCCTAAGTAACATTGGGTATTGAGGTCTTGGACGTCTGACTCCTGAGCCCCGAGACGTACCGAAGGGAATGGCATCGGCCTTCATGTTGGGATAGTCAAACCCGATCTTGAAGCCAGAGGCCGCAGCTACCATCATCTGGAACCGAAAACGGCCCCCAAACCCGAAAGCCTCAACCTTGAAGGGGCTGCGACGTCTCAGATGGCTTGAGTGCGCAGGAGCCATGCGATTTCATGACAACAGGGCGCATGGCTGTAGGGTGGTGAGTTGCTCGTCCCATTCCATCAAATCCCTGTGTCTCAAATCCCTGTTATAGCTGTGATGCCCGAACACTAAACCCGAAACCGCTGGCCCACATTCAGGGCAGGTGGGCGTTAGGGCTTCAGGGTACGAGGTGCTGCACTGTAATGCCGGAGACACCACCTCAAACCCAAAAAACACTGTTTAAGGTGTAGGCTTTAGGCCAGAGTTTAAGGTGGGGGACCGAGACTCGCTAGATTCCGCAAGACAGCGGCATGTCTCCTTGGGATTTCAGATCTTGTCGCAAAAAGAAGGAGAATGAGATGGCTCCGCAAATCTGCTTGTCTGAAGTCCTATGCACATCTTTTAACTTCCCGGGGTCGTCCACGCGTACAAGTCCATATCCTTACACCGTGTGCCCAGCCCTAAACCGCAGACCACAAGCCCGGAACGCCAAAGCTGAAGCCCGAAGATCCGAAGGCCTCCGCACGAGGAGCTCTCTCTTCTCCTCGTGGCTCAGCTTGCCGTTCAGGTCCACCTCAGGAGTTTAGGGCCCAAGGTGTTTGGAGTGTTGGGAGGAGGCTGCCGGCGGGGATTGTTTGAAGTGGCGGACCGGGTGGGGGTAACCAGAGAGGGGGATGGTCTGGATCAGGTGCAAGGCCTTCTTATCATTGTTATTCTGGCTGCAGGCGTAATAACCGCAGCAGTAGGAGTAGCAGTAGGAGCGGTAACAGCATAATATATATATATATA